AGCGGGGGAAGGGTTTCAGTTCCCAATCACCGGCTGCGATGTACATTGTGCCTCTGAAGCTAACCTTGGACAACAGCGAGCATCAGAAGTAGCGCAACAAGGAACCTCAAGACCTGGCCTTCAAGCGCGATGCTCCCAACAGAGTTGTGACGATGAGGACGTCGTCATCACGCCGGTTCAACTCTGAACCTAGGCTTTTGCCCGAAGACATCTGCCAAGCCCATGAGCGAGCGAGGGAGATGTCGACACACCTGGGCGACGCCTCCAAGAAAAAAAATGACACCCACGGGCGCCGGCGCCACCAACACCGACCGAATGCGGCCTAGAATTTCTTCTGAATTGCCGCACACCTCCATCCTTGCCCTCCGGATTGGGGCCACACCGTTCAAGTTGACCACTCTGCCGTTGTTGCAGCACTTCGCCGGCATAGCCGAGCTGTCCTGGTCCACCGAAGACCCTCACAGACAGAAGCAAAACACCCCTACAACTAACCTCCCCCGCGGTTGCGAACTCGCAGAACTCCCTCCCAACTGTACCAAGGAATGCCACGAGCCGCACATTGCAGCCGTCAAGCCAACTCCGGCAGAAGCCCACGCCACCACCTCCATCTTCCACAACCGCGACCTGGAGCAGGCACCGCGACGGAGGCATTCGAGGACGCGACATACTCGACCGCTGCAAGGCAACCACTCCTGGTCGAGCTCCGCCACGCCGCCATGGCCTCATTGTGCCGCCGCCCGCTTGTCCCGCGCCGTCATCTCCTGAAGGATCCACCGTGCCGCGACCATCTCCTCCCGCGAGCCCCAGCCGCCTCCTCCTCTCGGTCACGCGCCATTAGCTCCGCCATGCGCCATCAAATCCACCCTACGCCGCCCATATGACGCCGCTCCCCTGCGCGAGGGAGGCTCGTCGGGGCACGCCGACCGTGCCCGCCCCCTTCGGTGGCCGGGCGCCGCCATCACCGCCAACACCGGCAGCGGCAGCGTCTAAGGGAGCTCGGGG